TTGACATGGAGCCAGAATTCAGAACATTCCACAGGCAAGTTTTCAGCGGCATAAATCAGCACACAAAACCCAAGGGGCACCCCCAGGAAGACAGTGAGCTTCATGGCTTCAGTTCACAAAGTGGAGGGAAACAGGAAAACAGATCAGATCCTGTTTCCTAAAAATTCAGTATATTAGGCTGTATTTTTTATGGGAAATTGAAACCATTAATACTGAGTAATTATTAACCAATGTTTATTAATTCCTGTTATTTTGTTGCTATGGTGTTGTTTTCTTAGATATATTTTGATTAGCTGCATGTCCATGTGAATTGACTCATAAGTACTTCATTCTTAACCCTGTGAGAAAGGCAGGGGAGGTATTCTTGTTACGAGTTAACAGATGAAGAACTAAAGGCCCTGTGACTGTGAGGTCCATGAGGGCTTGAACACTCTCGTTTATCTTGGTATGTCCAGCACAGGATCTGAAATCCAAATAGGTCTATAATGAGCAATAAGATTTTAGTAGCAATAAGAATTCATTCAGCAAAGATAATCCTAGACCAAAAGGATTCACTACTAAATTTTAACAGACTTTAAAAAATATTTTATTTATTACTTGTTAATTTTTTATATGTATGAGTATATTGCTTGCATGTGTGTAAGTGCACCCATATTGCACAATGCCCGTGGAGGTCAGAAGAAGGCATCGTACTGGAGTTATGGATGACTGTTAGCCACCATGTGGGCTGGGAATCAAACCCAGGTCCTCTGCAAGAGCAGTCAGTGCTCTTAGCTGCTGAGCTGTCTCTCCAGCCCCTAACAGACTTTTTAAAAAAGAGCTAATACTAATGCTCCTCAAATAGATAAAGACACAGAAAACTACAGACCAGTTTCCTTGAAGGACCTAGAGTCAAAAATCCTCAAAAAAACACTTGCAAAATAAATTCAACAACATGTTTGAACATATTCATACACCATGATCAAGTTGGTTTCATTCCCAGGATGTAAGGATGATTCAGAATGTGCAAATAAATAAATAAAATATAGCACATATATAAAATCAAAGTCAAAAATCACATGATAGTCTCAAGAGATATAGAAAATCCCTTTGATGAACTGAATGGCCATATTTCTAGAATTAATATACAGATTCAGTGAAAGAACTTTTCTGATTCAAAAACTTACTAAAAAGCAGTTGTTGCTGAGTGTGGTGATATACACCTTTAATCGCAGCACTCAAGAGACAGAAGCAAGCAGATCTCTGCGAGATCAAGATCAGCCTGGTCTACATAGTTCCAGGCCAGCTGGGACTACAGAGAAACCTTGTCTCAAAAAAATCAAAACACAAAACAGTTGTCAAGTTGTAGCTACATAATACAGATATATCTGTATCTATATATACAGATCAATAAAGTATACTTGAGAATCCTCAGAAGTTAAGTCTTACATGATGAATTTATTTTCAACAAAGATTTTGAGATAATTCAGTGGACAATGTAGTACATTATTTTCAATAAATCATATCGGGAAAAATTGGAAAAAGGATGAATTTACACCTTATCTCACGCCGTATATAAAATTAACTCGGAATCAAATGTCTAAATGTAACAAAGAATTTATTACAATTTAAGGGGAGGCCAATGGTAGAGGAGGACATCTGATGTCCTCCACTAACTCCTGCAGGTGCATATGCAGGTGTGCAAACACGCATTCAACACACACACACACACACACACATGCTACAAACTTGTAAATATATATACAAACAATATATGTGACGGGGATATATTATCCAGAAGGACTCTTACAACTCAACAACAAAAAGACAAACACAATTTAAAATGAGTAAAGTACTCCCATACATATTTACTCAAATAAGATATACAAATGACCATCAAGCACATGAAAGGATACTGAGTTAAACATTCAGAAGACACCAAACGGGCCGGAGAGATGGCTCAGTAATTAGGAGCCTTGCAGAGGACCCAGGTTTGATTCTCAGTATCCACGTTATGGCTAACAACCTCCATAACTCCAATTCTAGGGGCTCTGACACCCTCCTCTGACCTCAGCAGGCACTGCACAATATGGATGCATTTACATACATGCAGACAATATACTCATGCACATAAAATTTAAAAAGTAATAAATTTTTTTAAAAAGAAGACACAAAACTATCACAAGATTACAGTTCATACCCATGAAGATGAATGTTATAAACCAAAGAAAGAAAATCAAACAAAAAAAAACCATGTTTTGATGAAGTTGTAGAGAAATTGGGATCCCCACACACTGCTGTTGGAAATGCAAAAAGGTTCAATTGCTGACAGTATCAGTTTTGTTATTCTTCCATAAGTTAAACACAGAAGTATCATTTGCACCAGTAGTTTTACTCCTATATATCTATCTACGAATTGAAAATATATGTCTGCCTAAAACATGTACGCACAATAATCACAAGACGGAAACAATTCACATGTCACTGGATGATTAGATAAACAAAGGGCGATCTAGCCATAAAACCGAGTAGTATTTGGCCATGAAAATTAATTACTAATTCATGCTGAAAGATGGATGAATCCTAGAAACATGATAAATATAAAAACCTGGGCACAATGGAACTGGAGCGATTGCTCAGTGGTTAAGAACACTGACTGCTCTTGCAGAGGACCTGGGTTCAATTCCCAGCACTCACACAGCAGAAAACAACCACTCACAACTCCAGTTTCAGGGGATCTGACACCTTCTTCTGGCCTTTGCAGGCACTGCACACATACATACATGCAGGCAAAACACGCACATAAAATAAAAATAAATAACATTTTTAAAAAAGAACGTGGGATCCAGGCATGGTGGCGCATGCCTTTAATCCCAGCACTTGGGAGGCAGAGGCAGGCAGATCTGTGTGAGTTCAAGGCCAGCCTGGTCTACATAGTGAGTTCCAGGACAGCTGGGCCTACAGGGAGACCCTGTCTCAAAAAGACCAAAAAAAGAAAAAAAAAAAAGAACCTGGGAACAAAAGGCCACATATTATATGATTCCATTTCTATGAGACATATGACAATTAAATTAAATCCTTGGAGGCAGAAAGTTGGTTAGGGATTTCCTAATTTTTGTAGTTAGTAATGAAAATAGACTGCAAGTATACAAGGTAGATATCATTTAGGGAGTAGAAATGTCTAAAGCTGCATTGTAGAGATGACTGTATACTTTATAGATTTATTAAAAGTAATCTAGACATACACTGAAATTAGGCCAAGTCTATATAATGGAAATGACATCAAAAAATAAAAAGAAAAGCCCTGGGAAGCACAGGAAATAAAGGAGCCAGCTCATTTTTGAGAATACAGGCCATGTGGCTCTTATTAGGTTGTCTGATGTTGTACCAGAGGTGGTGGCAGTGGTGGATTTCCCATAAGGGCTGAAGGTCCAGCTATGATTTGCTCTTTTAAGACAATGTTTTAAATTAGGGTACATTAATTGTACAAAATAAGGGGTTTCATTATGGCATATGTATACACAGATGTAATATGCTTTGATTATACTTTTAATTCATTTTTTAAATTTTTCTGAGACAGTATTGGGTCTCCCAATAGCCCCAAATGGCCTGGAACTCACTATGTCGACCAGGCTGGCATTGATCTCACAGAGATCCACCTGTCTCTGCCTCCCAAGTTCTGGGAATAAAGTTATGAACCAACATGCCTGGCTTTGAGTCCATTTTGAAAAGTATACTGTTGGAAATTTGGAGAGAGTGGAAAAGAAATGAATGGATTATAAAAGATTTTCACAGTGCAGAAGTGACAAGACTCTATACTGGCTAGATATGTGTGATGGAGAAGGGCAAGGATGCCTCTTAACTGAACATGTTTAAAGTAGAATCCCTGTCTTCCTCTTATATTGCATTCCCCTGCTCCCAAGACCAGTGAGTGGATTGGCCTCCTTGCACACAGCAGGCATTTACTGCTGGACAGAGTATAATGAATACAAGAACATAGACTAATACAGTAAAAATACAGCTAAAAAAGCTGTCATCACCAGGTCCTGCCAAATGGCCAATCCTAAAGCCCCATCAAGGCTGTTCAACAGATGTTCAGCACAATTCCCCTGAGACCATCTGAAAAGACATCATTTCCTTTCCTTACCCGGAAGAACCTCTTTCATTATCAACCACTCCTTGAATAGAACTGGAAGGTATTGCACAGGCTGGATTTTCCCAAGATTCTCTCATTGCTGTTAGTCTTCACATGGGCAGTAGATGGTTTGTGTACAGCTTAGACAAGCAAGAGGGATGCCTGGTGTTGTAGAAAGGGACGCAGTGGTACTAACTGGTGGATCTATGTTTAGATCCATGTTTGGTTCCAATCACCAAGTAAAGATTCTTCACAGCAAAGAGGTTTATTAATCCAGAAGGTTAGACCCCAGCCCCAGCTCCGGAAGAAAACACAGCTGCCATATACACCATAGACACTGAGTAATCGGTTTGCATACTTTGCTGCCATTCTCAGCGTTGACAAATAGAGGCAGAGTAGTACTCATGGTACCTGAGGTAGACACAAATACAAGGAAGGATTTTTCTTAATCTATATTTTCAAGAAAGAAGTAGGAGGACCACAGGGTAGAAGCCACCAGACTCTCACTTCAGAGAACATTCCCAGGTTATAGAAGAGAAGTGAAATTTTTCAACCCGGAACAGAAATCTGACTATGTGAGCAGTAAAATTAAGGTGGGAACATTTGATGAAGTACAATTTTTAACCCTGTTTAAGACCATTTCATTGGATAAACATCCTTTTCAGTTATGAAAGTCCAAGTCATTTCTGGTCCTTTTCCTGTAAGAGCTGCCAGGTTATGGGAACAGCAATGGGAGGCTCTTTTCTGGGCATGGAGCCCAGAACTCAAAAGGAGGCTCTCAAGAACATCTGGTCAGCTTGATATATATAAGCCAGCACTGCATGTGTCTCTGTGTGTATGTGTTTCTCCTATGCTGACTCATGGCATTGAAACTTCTCTGGAAACACCCCCACCCTTCTAGTCAGCCAGTTTACACACACCCTTCTGCTCCTCCTTGATTGAAATGCTAGGTCAAGAGGAAGAAGGAAAACAAATTCAAGAGCTGCTCTTAAGCGTCTAGAACTTTCTGTGTCCCATCCATTAGGAGGATACACTGGCCCCAGATCATCAACATTCCTTGAGCTTTTGGAGATAACTGAAAGAAGAGTCCATCGGTATTGTGGCCTCAGAAGGACACAGGGACTGACAACTGGCAGAAAGATGGCAAGCCTAAGGCCCACCACTCAAGCAGACCCTGAAATTGAACTTTTTGTGAAGGTAAGTTTTCCAGCTGTGGTAATAGCATATAGATTATATTGTTTCTTGACACTGGACCTCAGCTTCTAAACAAATCTCAATATTTAGGCTAAAAGTAAGAATTAACTAATTATTTTCCTCCTTTGAGTCCCAGAGAAATGCCTTACATGCATGGCTGCTTTTACGTGACAACAGGAAAATCGATATCATCTGGAAAAAACAATAGTATTACTAGAGCACTAGACTGGTTGGTTTTATAGTAACTAAATTACATTTTCAGTTGCTTTCTATGTTACCTTGGGAAAAACCCATCCCTCCCTGTAGACCTTTGTTTCTCCATCTGTACAATGAAGGAATTTGAAAGCTTTTCTGGATTTCACAATCTGTCTTTTATGAGATAGGTTTTAAAGGGCCTGAATGATTAGTGGAGGAGGCTAGTAATGGTTTGAGAGCTCTATTTCCACACAGCCCAGAGAGAAATTTCTGAAATTCTCCCGTAACAGACAAACATCACAGCAGGGTTACACGGACACTGCAAGAGAAAAACAGCCAGAAGTCTGTGTCTGTTACATGACGAGAAAGCATTTGAGAATGCTTTGCTTCCTCTTTTTGGTCTGCATTGGAAGTTTTTTTTAACGTCTTTTAATTTTTCAGAAAAGCACTTTGGAAAACCCCTAAAGTAGGAGAAAGAAACATGTATTTCCAAATTAGCTCATCATAAAAAAAATGCCATGGGCTATTTCAAGTAGAAATTAAAGTTTCCTAAATCCTTGCTTACATTAACTGTTTAGTTTTTCCATCTAATTTCATTGATTATTGGAAATATTAGTGATAATATAATGAATAATAATAACCAAAACAAACTCATATGGCTCTGGGCCCTTTTATAAATACTCTTAAGCACTTCATATGTATTGCTTCATTTACGTGAACTTAGGACACAGATTAATAGTAGTTATACTCTTACTATCAATATCAATGAGTGATAATAATTACTATTTTGTTAAATATTTTAAGTGAATTTGATCAAAACAATATACATGTATGAAATTCTCAAACAAAATTTTAAGTTATGACAATATCATAGTAATATTTTACTAATCATTTCTCAGTGAGTAGACTAAGATAATAAAATTTCAGCAATAATTCTAAAACTATATAGCTTCTTGATGACTTACAAAGACATACATCAAAGTATACTTATCAAATGTTGTTAAACACCTATTGGCCAAAGTAATACTTTTACAACTATTTTATATTAATAACTTGTCTCATACATTCACTAAAGACATCATCACACAGTAAGGTAATCTCAGTTGTTTGCTAGACTATGGGGCATAAGACCTACTTTTTTAGTCTTTGATTATAGCAATACATATTGACTGCTCAAAATGTATATAAGGGGCTGGAGAGATGGCTCAGCGGTTAAGAGCACTGACTGCTCTTGCAGAGGACCCAGGTTCAATTCCCAGCACCCACATAGCGGCTACAAGCTGAACCATCCTTAACTCCAGTTCCAGGGGAATCTGAAACCCTCTTCTGACCTCCGCGGCATTGCATGACACGGGTGCAGTCACTTACATGCAGGCAATACACTCATACACATAAAATAAAAATAATAAAAGTAATAAAATATTTAAAACATTTGAAAATCACCCTATTCGGACCTTTTCCTAGTTCCCTGTCTAGAACTTGTAGTGCTAATTACTCTTGCCGTTACTTCTCCTTCACATCTCCTATTCACGATTTAAGGACTTTCTTCTCCCCTTAGAGACAAGAGTTAAGCAATTTGGGAGTCTTTTAGATAGACCCACTGAAGGGGTACTCCAATTGCCTCACCCTGCCTCCCTGTTCAGCATGGAAGAAGCCAGAGCGGTTGGCGTCCCTATTCCCTATTGGCAATTTGGGCAACCCCTTCAGAGGATGGCGTGATAGGAATAGGAGATAGGAATTGGCTAGGCAGTTAGGGTAAAAAAAAAACCCCAAAATATAGCCAGTTTCTTGGCTAAAAGTCAAAATGTCCTTGGGCCTGTTAGCAATATACTCTGTTCCAAGGCCAAAAATGTCAAAAGTATTTGGGAGCTTGTATCTAATCCTTAAAAGATTTTAGGGTTACCTCTTCAGAGGGAGGAATGTTGGAGGGGAGGGAGTGGGCATGGATTTGATCACAACACCTTATATGCATGTATGAAATTCTCAATAAAGTTTTTGTAAAAATTTTAAAAAATTAGTATATAAATATCTTAATTTTTACTTGTCTTTTATGTCTATCAATTCCAACAAGTGGTAACACTTCTTCATGGGGCGACTAAGTGTTCCTTTTCTCTAAACTGTTCATTCAATTCCATAATTATTCTCAAGTCAGTTGTTGGCACTGATCTATGTGTTTATCTTCATAAGCTTCCTTACCACATTTAGGTAAGTAATCTGAACAGAGGAGGTTAGCAAAACGCATACTGGATGAACAAATGTTGGATTAAATATCTTTTAGCTTAAAGTAACCTACTGAGCACTTACTATATAACAGGAAGTTTACTGAGTGGTCTACTAACCCAATTTTATGGATACAGAAACTAAAGCAAGTAACAACTAAGTAACTTTGTCCAAAGTCATATAAGTAGTCAATAAAAGAATCGTGATTCTTGGAAAGACCAGTGTCTAATTTTATTCACTGTTTTCAACTGAATGAAATTTTTAGTAAAAAACTTCTGAATTTTGACAAATTAACTGTAGCATTGATGCAAGTTACAGATTCTCTGGTAGAACCTTGAATTGTAAGTGGTCCAGGATTTTTGTTTTGCTTTGCTCTGTGGTATGTTCCACAAATCACTAGAGATTATGTGAAAAGTCCTGGGAGAGGTCATAAATGTTGAAAACAGTAAAAAAAAAAAAAAACTAATGATTATGCTTATACAGCATTGTACTTTAGCAATGATAAAAATTAAATAAGTCTATTGTTTTCAACCCAGGTACACGTGGCTGTGGCTTTCAAACTCATGTACCATAACTTCTTTTCATATGTTAATAGGACCCCTAGAAAAACTTAAGCACATTCTTATTAAAATTAAGAACCTATATTATGCACTCTATATGCTCCATGTAGACAGTGGGGAGTGCCTTCCAGTACTGAATGATATGGGCAGGATGTATATCTAGGAACTAACAATAGATTGTGTAGTACACATTTCATCTTCCCATAATACATGGTTTATCTTACTGATTTGGTGGTTATTGTTAAATTGAATGTTTGAACTTTCTACCAAGCACGTTAAAATTAGATTTTAGTATATTTATGCATAAAATTGTAGAATCAAACATTTGGGCCAAAATTCTGAATTTAAATTTTTGAGATAGGGTCTCACTATATAGCCCTGTTTGGCATGGAGCTCACTATGTAGACCAGGCTGGCCTCAAACACACTAAGATTCCCCTGCCTTTGCCTTCCAAGTTGCTGGTATTAAAGGCATGTGCTGCCACAGTCAGCTGAATTTAATATTTATGTTAAAAACTTTTAAAAAATGTGTATGAGAGGAAAGAGACTACACTCTTCCCTGAATGTTTACTCCACTTCAGACTCCTCTCTTAGGAATATTGCACTGAATATTTAATATTTAAAAATCTAAGAAAAATATTAAATAGATATTCAAGAATGTGAGTTCTGGATAAGACATTCTTGGATTTGTTAAGTGAAAAGAGTACGTCTGTCATCAACTCTTCTCTAGCTGAGTGTACTTGAGCAAGCCAGTCTCTTTGAGCTTCACTTAGCTTAGCTGTAAAACAAGAGCAATAAAGAGATCACATTCATTGTGAGACAGAAAAAAGCAATGATTGGCAACGTGATAAACATTCATTAAATGCTGGCTAGAATTTTTTGTTTAGAAACTTAGATCACATACACAAAGAGAAATGATTGTTTTTGTAAATGACCACATCCTGTATTTGTTGTCTAAAGATACATGTGTAGTAAGTTGTCAGTTAGGCTAGGGACTTTGTACCCTAAGACTATATGTGATAGCACTTTAAATCAGCATAACTAAAGAGAAAATGACATTAAATTTTCCTGTGAAACCTTACTGTATTTCCCCCATACTTCAATGTTTTGATTCTCCTTCTGCTGAAGGTAATCCACCCTTCCTGCTGTATCCATTATCAGACTTAATTCTTCCTCCTGCCTCCCACCCTTAATCATGTTTCCCCTCACTAAGCCGGGTTCTGATTGTTGACTTCAACAACAAAGGAAATGAAGCTACTAAGGTTGGTCGCTTCTTCCCATTCCTTTTCACTCTGACATCGGGAAAGGGCAACAATAAATAACATTTCCTTCATTGCACAGACTGTCAGGGAAGGAAAAATTTCCCCCAAAACCCTGAGTTTATATCCAGAGTTTCCAGGATCTTAATATTGCTACAAATAGCAGGTCACAGCAGCTTTAAGACAAGAATCTTTCATTTCCTTCTAGAGAATACAGACTAGGAGGAAAGTGACTGAGGCCAAAGAGAACAAAATGAGTCCAAGAGATACTGGTAGCTTAGACTTGAATAGCTAGCACCTAACTGTGACAGATACCAAGCAGCAAATAAACATTGAATTAGTGAATGAATGATCATGGCAAAGGAGAGAACTGAACTTATTTGGAAGATATTCAGTAGATAAAATTTACAAAAATTAGTGTGGGAGTCAATGTTGGGCTGAAGCAGAATGAAGCTTCTCAGTTTTTTAGCTTAGGAAAATAACTTGATGACAACACAGACTGGGTAGTTTAATAAATTGCTCTGGAGGCCAGAAGCACCTCTGACTGACTCTAGGATTCCAGCCTGTCCTTCTCCCAGCATGAGATTCCTGGGGAAATTTCAATTTTTTGGTCTGTAATTTCAATAACCTGATAGTCAAAGAAAAGGACACTGTCTCTTTAGAATATCCTCATTCCTCCTAGAATGGTTGCAGAACCATTCACAATATTAGGAGCTCTAAAGACAGAATAGGTTTGTGGGTGAGAGAAAGAGTTGAAGGCTGGGGACGCAGCGTAAGAGTACTTACCACACAAGCGTGAAGACCTAAATTCAGATTCTCAGAACCCACATGAGAAGGTGGCCATGACCATGCATCTGTAGCTCCAATGCTGCCGGGGAGATGGAGAGAAGAGGATCTCTAGGGTTTGCTGGCCACTAGCCTAGCTCCAGGTTCAGTGAGAGAGTCTATCTCAAGGGAGTAAGGCAAAGAGTGTTAGAGAAGAACGCCCAGTGTCCTTTTCTGGCCTCCTCACATGCGTCCACGAATAAACGTGCATATACAATACAAATGGGGTAGATATTCATTTGATATTCATTGAAATCAAATGAATTAAAACAGAGATCTCCCATGAAGACTCTATATAAGCTATAGCACCCTACCTCGTGTTACCATTGAGGTTGTAGTTGGGGTAGGTGTCTCTTAGATAACCTTGCTCCTCATTGCTGTTTCCAGACTATTCTACCAACCCTGCCCAGGAAAATTCCTAAGTTGAGCCTCATAGTAACAAACTACTTACTAACCTTCCTTATTACTATAGTCTTCCCAGAACCCTGGGTCACTGTCCCTTTGTGTGCGCACAAGCACATGTGAACATGCACGAGGAGCTTTCCAGCTTTAAGACGTTGTAACTAACGTGTCTCTAAATATTGATATACAGGTCTTTCTATGCCATATGCTTTCAGTTTTCCTCAGTTAATGAGTGGGGTTGGAACTGCTGGGTCATATTATAGGCACATGTTTAAATTTGATAAATTTTTATTAAGTAGTTTTACTATTTAACACTCCAAATAGCAGAATATTAGAATCCCAGTTACTCAACATCTCTGACAACACCAGGCATGGGCAGTTTTTCCATTTCAGTCATTCTAATGTGCTTATAGTGGTATCTTGGTTGTGATTTTAACTTATAAATTCCATTAGAATTAATGAGGTTGAACATACTTTTGTGTCCTTACTTATCTTTACAAAGTGTTCAAATTTCTTGCCCATTTGTAAACTTAGGTAGTTTATTGTTGAATTTTAGGAGCTCTATTTTTTTTATATTTTAGATGTGAAATGTTTTGTCTTCTTAGTAATTCCTTTGAAAAGCAGATTTGAGCTTCACTGTGTTATTGAATTTTTCTCTTCTCTCCTTCGTTGAGTCCCAGTTGTGTTGACCTTCCTTCATTTCCTTATACATCTCATGAAAGATCTTTGTTCGTGATATCTCCTCTGTTTAGAATGCCCTCTTCATGCCAATTTATGTGGTTAACTCTTATTTCTCCTTTGAATTCAGTTTAAATGCCACTTCTTCAGGGAAGGTCTTCCCTTATAGATATCACATACATCTATCTGAGGTTCACTGTTACATTTTCATTAAATGACCACTTCCTTCAAATAATTCATCTGTGTTTAATACTGAGAATTAATTTTGTATGTTTTTTATTTTAATAGATTCATGACATGATGATGAAGATATAGATAGATGATAGACCTAGATAGATAGATATGATAGATGATAGATAGATAGATAGATGATAGATGATTGATATAGATAGTAGATAGATAGATGACAGATAGATAGATAGTAGATAGATGATAGATAGATAGATAGATAGATAGATAGATAGATAGATAGATAGATAGATAAACAGATAGACAGACGGACTGGAGTTTTTGTTTTTGCTTTTTTGAGACAGGGTATTCCTATAGCCCCAGCTGGGCTGGAACTCACTATGTAGACTAGGCTGGCCTTGATCTCACAGAGACCCACCTGCCTCTGCCTTCTCAGTGCTGGGATTAAAAGCATGTGCCACTGCAACTGGCAAGAGACTGGCATATATTAAACGCAAGTGTTTGTTAAGTGAATATAGGGTAAGTGAATCAATGAAGAACAGACTATCCACAGATTAAGCCAGTATATGTAAAAAATTTCATACTTTGATATGATTTGATATTTTGAAATTTTTTACATATACTGAGTTAATCTGTGGACATTCTGTTCTTCACTGATTCACTTACCCTATAAGCCGAGCGTGGTGGCGCATGACTTTAATCCCAGCATTCAGGAGACAGAGGCAGATGGATCTCTGTGAGTTCAAAGCCAGCCTTTTCTACATAGTAAGTTCCAGGACTGCTGGGGCTACAGGGAGACCCTGTCTCAAAAAGACCAAAAAAAAGGTTTCAAAGTAGAAAACTATGTAATTAATCATTGGTGTAAGACAATTATTAACTTATTTTCAAAGCAAAACTTAAAAATGCTACAACAGAAGTCCCAATACACCTTACACCAGAAATACAAATAGATAAAACAAATGCGAAAGTGAAACCATAGGGTTACTAGAAGAAAACACGATGGAAAATATTTATAGCAAACCAAAGTAAGAATATAAATTTTTGTGATCTTTATATATAAAATGTGAAAATCTATTAGAAAATGTGTATTGTTTTATTAAGCATTCTCATTTTAAAGATTAACCCTAAAGATGTAATTTCAAAACTGAGACAAGTTATATACTCTTAAGTGTTTGTTGTTAAAATACTGAGTAGCAAAAAGTTTGGGATATCCTAAATGTTCATCAATAGGAAAATTGATATATAAATTTTAATAGTGTAGAAAGTTTATTATTAAACATTATTATTATTATTGATCCAGGTGTCGTGGCGCATGCCTTTAATCCCAGCACTCGGGAGGCAGAGTACACAGATCTTTGTGTGATCAAGGCCAGCCTGGTCTACATAGTGAGTTCCAGGGCAGCTAGGGCTACAGGGAGACCCTGTCTCAGAAAACCAAAAAAAATATTACATACACATCGCATTTGTAATGTTCTGTATTAGTTGATTTATTGTCTCTCTCAACCAACAGATGGCAGAATCTATGAGATTAGGTACTTCCAACTTTGTTCCCAGCAACTAGTCCATTTCGCAAGACGCATTTAATACATGCTCTTTGAACAAGCAAATGAGTGAACTGAGGTCTTTCTTTATCTTAATAGGCTGGAAGTGATGGGGAAAGTATTGGAAATTGTCCCTTTTGCCAACGTCTTTTCATGATCCTCTGGCTTAAAGGAGTTAAATTTAATGTAACTACTGTTGACATGACCAGGTAAGAGAAATCAAGATGTGTTGAATTCTGGGGCTTTAGATTGATAGGCACCAATATAATGTTGGTATTTGACAATGCATATTTTATCTAGATATTTAACTTTCCTTGTTTTCAATAATCATAGAAAGCCTGAAGAACTGAAGGACTTAGCCCCAGGTACCAACCCGCCCTTCTTGGTATATAACAAGGAGTTGAAAACAGACTTCATTAAAATTGAGGAGTTTCTAGAGCAGACACTGGCTCCTCCAAGGTACAACATTTTACAGGATATTATTATGCATAATTTTACAGAATATTATTATGCTTATAATTTATTTTGTTGGTCTATTTATTTCAGATTGAGGATATTTTTTAATTATAAAAATTACATTTCTTTATTTACTTACTGTGTATGTATGGCATGTGTATGCCATAACACATGTGTGAAGGTCAGAAGAAAACTTGTCTGAGTTGGTTTTCTTCTTCTGCCATATGAGTTCCAGGATTGAACTCAGGTTGTCAGGCTTAGCAGCAAGTCCTGTATCCACTGAGCCATCTCACCAGCTCCAGATTGGAGATTCCTGCTAATTTAAAAGTACTTTGGGAGGGGCTGAAGAGAATGGCTCAGCAGTGGAGAGCACTGGCTGTTCAGGCAGAGGCTCTGAGTTCAGTTTCCAGCACCCACATGGCAGTTAATAACCGTCCTAAATTCCAGTTCTAGGGAATTTGATGATCTCTTCTGGTCTCCATGGGCATTGCATGACACGGTATTCCTGTAGGCAAAACATTCATACATGTAAAATAAAATTTTTTTAAGTTGTTTTTACTGAACTTTTGTGTATTTCATACATAATATCTCAATAAACCTTTTTTAAACTTAAACAATTTATTGAGAATTTCACACATGCAAATAATGTGTTTGATCAAATCCATACCCACTCCCTCCCCTCCAACTCCTCTCATATCTCCCCATCACTTTTTTCTGACAACTTCCTGTACTTTCTCTTTTTTGGGGGGGTGCTACTCTAACATTCCCCCCTCTGAAGAGGTAACCCTAAAATCTTTTAGGGGTTATATATGAGCTCACAAATACTTTTGACATTTTTGGCCTTTGGAAGAGAGTGGTTGCTAAGAAGCCCAAGGACACTTTGACTTTTAGCCAAGAAACTGGCTATATTTCTTTGGGGTCTTTTTACCCTAACTGCCTAGCCAATTCCTACCTCTTATTCATATCACACCACCCCCTGAAGAGGTTACCCAAATTACTGACAGGGAATCAGGATGCAGACCACTCTGGCTCCTTCCATGTTGAACAGAGACTCAGGGTGAAGCTATTGGGGTACCCCTTCAGTGGGTCTATCTAAAAGATTCCCAAATTGCATACCTCTTATCTGTAGGGAGCAAAGAAAGCCCTTGAATTGTGACTACAAGATGTGAAGGGGAAGTAAAGGCAAGAGTAGTTAGCATTACAAGTTCTAGACAGGGCACCAGAAAAGGTCAGAACAAGGCAAATTTCAAATGTTCATATGAGAGGCCACTGGAATTTCTTGATGAGAGCGTCCAAAAGCATCCCTCTATTGGGTTCCTCCTCATTTTTCTTTTCTCTGCCAAGGCTGGATTCAAGAGTGATGGACTCGGGATTTGTTTTCAGGCACTTTGATAGCTGTTGGAGTGGCTAGAATCAGTGTCAGTTCCCTCTCAAAGGCTTCTAGATAGGGGGAGAAAAAAAATTTGGCCATCATTTTAGAACAAAAGTGGGTTGTCTCCCTTAGCTATGGGTGGGAACTACAGTATTGCAGACCAAGATTTGAAGCCTTACATCTGAGTAGCACTTTCTGCTTAGAAACAAAATCATCAATTAGAATTAATTGTTTAACATTTTATATGGACTTAAGCCTGATGTCTGGGAAGTGTAATCCCTTGAACTCTTAAAGAAGTACACTGATCACTTTAATCTTTTCTTATACATTCCTTTGGGGTATTTAAGACCATAGACTTGGCCCAAATAAACCAATTTGTTTTTACTTTTAAGGTCATTTGAGGATCTGTTCCTCAGGGATCACATGGACTTGGGAGGAGCCCCTGGCTCCTTTCTTTACCAGTTCCATCCATGTTAAGTCAAAGATCCTGCTTGACCATGGCTGGCCTCACTTAGAAGCATGGAGAAAATGTTTCCTCTGTGTTGACCCTCCTCTTTGTAGACTGGACACTGGTTCAAGTCCATCTGGTGGGGTCTCCATGGCCTCCCTGAACAAGAGAGACAGGTGACTCACAGCAGTTACAAGACATTTTGAGAGATGCTCCATAGTCCCCTGGAACTTAGTCGACCTTGGAGGGCAAGGGGCAAAAACTGTCCTTTAAGTCCCTCTGACCACATTAGTATTGGCTTCAAAGTTCAAGGTATGGCTGTTAAAATCCAGGAAGGTTAGTTCCACCAGTCTGGTACTTTTAATTACCGTGTGCTAGGTGGATAAAGCTTGGGCAAAAGCCAAACATTCTCAGATAAACCTTGACTAGACATACATTTTGTTCCTTAGTTGACTAAACTATGAACCTTAGGCATTTTAAGATTATGTGTATATTATTTTTGTCTCATCCTTTATATATTATAACAAACCTACACAGACCTTCATCACCTGCTTAGACTATCAGTTTTTCTATTTTGGAAAATATCTCCATTCCCATATCCTTGTAACATCATTTACATTCTCATTTTCTTTTTTAATAATTGTGAGACATAACATTAACCAATAAATTTTCCATCTGTTCTGAGAATTCTTTTCCTGGGGATACTAAGCAAAGCTTATCCCTTTTTAAGGTTCTAGTGTCAAACCAACGTTTGATTAAAGTTTTCCTGGGGAACCAATGAATTTATTGAGCTTACTTACTGAGATGACTGAGGGGTTGCTGAGGTGTGTGAGTGACCTGAGGGTATGCACACTGCAAAGCCTTTACCCAGCATGGGTCAAGCCTTCTCTTCCCAGGATTCCCCAGATTATATACTTTAGTCCTCCCCAAATCCAGGAGATCAAGTGTAATTAGGGTCAAATTACATACAGTTGGCTGGGAAGAGAGGCTGGATACTCCAGTGAGGGTCCAATGACCCTGCTTGCCTCTCCTTTAATGAAGGAGCACCACCATCAACAAGCCCAATTGTGACAATGTTTGGTAATCAGGCTCAGCTGAAGGCATGATGGTGGTAGTTATTTCATGCAGAAGAGACTGCTGTACAGCATCATCTTATTAAAAGAACATAGAATTTAAAAGTATTTGGTGCTAGGATCCACAAATGAGGGAGAACATATGCCTTTTGTTTTTCTGAGACTGTGTTACTTCACTTAGTATAACAGTTCCTAGATCCATCCATTTACCTGCAAATTTCATTATTTCATCTTTCTTAATGCTGAATAGAACTCCATTATGTAAATATACCACATTTTTGTTAACCACTTGTCAGTTGAGGGGCACTTAGGTTGCTTCTGTCTCTTAGCTGTTGTGAAAAGATCAGCAACAAACACGGTTGTACAAGTGTCTCTGCAACAGGATGAGTCCTTTGGGTATATGCCAAGGAGTGGTATAACTGGGTCATATGGGAGGTTCATTTTTAGGTTTTTAAGAGTTCTCCACATTGTTTTCCATAGAGGCTGCACAAGTTTGCAATCCCACAAGCAGTGAATGAGCATTCCCCTTTCTCCACATCCTCACTAACATTTGGTATCATTTGTTCTCTTGATCCTAGCCACTCTGATTGGGGTAAGGTGATACCTTAAGGTGCTTTTAATTTGCATTTTCCTAATTACTAATGATGTTGAATACATTTTGAGATGTTTCTTAGCCATCTTTATTTCTTCCTTTGAGAACTCTCTGTTTAGATCTTTAGCCCATCTTTTAATAGGGTCATTTGGTTTCTTGCTTCTTTGTTTTTGAGTTCTTTATATATTCTGGATGCTAAAACTCTGTCAGATGTGTCACTGATGATGAAGAGTTTTCGCCATTCTGTGGGTTTTCTCTTCACTTCTTTGTTTCTTTTGCTGTACAGAAGCTTTTTTAGTTTAATGAGGTCCCACTTGTTGATTGCTGACCTTAATTCCTGAGCAACTTCTGTCCGATTTAGAAAAATCCTTTCCTATACCTATATCTTGTAAGTTACTGCCAATATTTCCTTCTAATAGTTTCAGGGTTTCCAGTTTCACATTGAGGGCTTTGATCCATTTGGAGTTGACTTTTGTGCAAGGTGAAAGATAAGGATCTAGTTTCATTCTTCTACAGGTGGAGATCCAGTTTTGCCAGCACCATTTGTTGAAGATGCTGTCTTTCTTTCCTCCATTGTGTGTTCTTGACCTTTGTCAAATATCACGTGGCAGAAATTGTGTGCACTCAGGTTTGGGTCTTCAATGAAGTTCCGTTGATCTGTATGTCTATTTTTGTGCCAGTACCACATTGTTTTTATGACTATAGCTCTGTAGTATACTTTGAGATCTGGTATAGTAATCCCCCAGTGTTGCTCTTTATGCTCAGGGTTGCTTTGCCTCTCCAGGGTCTTTTGTGCTTCCATATGAATTTAAGGATTTTTTTTTAATTCTGTGAAGTATGTCATGGGGATTTTGATTAGCATTGCATTTAATCTATATATTGCTTCTGGTAGGATGGTCATTTTCACAGTATTAATTCTTCCAATCTGTGAACATGGGAGGTCCTTCCATCTCCTGGTGTCTTCCTCAATCTCTTTCTTAACAATTTAAAATTTTCATTGTAGAGATCTTTGGTGCCTTTGGTCAGGTTTATTCCAAGATTTTTTTTTCAGCAATTGTGAGTGGGAGCATTCCCCTGTACCCTTTTCCCATTTGCTTGTTATTGGTATATAGAAAGGCTACTGATTTTTGTATGTTGATTTTATAACCTGCCACTATACTGAAAGTGTTGATCAGTTCTGGGAGTTTTCTGGTGGAACTTTTGGGATCTCTTAGGTATAGTATCATATTTTCTACAAAAAGGGATAGTTTGACCCCTTTTTTCCAATTAGTACTCCTTTAATTTCCTTCACCTGTCTTACTGCTCTAGCAAGAGTTTCAAGCACTATATTGAAAAGGAGTGGAAATAGTGGGCAGCCTTGTCTGGTTCCTGATTTTAGTGGGAATGCTTCTGTTTTTTTTTCCATTTAGAATTATGTTGGCTATGGGTTTGTCGTATATAGCTTTAATTATGTTGAGGTATGTTCCCTCCAGTCCAGTTCCCTTTAGAACTTTTATCATGAATGCATGCTGAATTTTGTCAAAAGCCTTTTCTGCATCTGTTGAGATGACGATGTGGTTTTTGTCTTTGAGTCCATTTATATTATTGATGACATTTATTGACTTGTGTATTATTGAACTATCCCTGCACCTGTGGAATAAAGCCTACTTGATCATGGTGAATGATATTTTTGATGTACATTTGTATGTGGTTTGCAAATATTTTGTTGAGAATTTTTGCATCTATGTTCATTAAGGATATGGGTCAATCTTTTCCTTTTTGGTTGTATCTTTACCTGGTTTTGGTATTAGAGTGATGCTGGCTTCATAGAAGGAATTTGGGAGTCCTCCCTCTGTTTCTATCATTTTGAATAATTTAAGTAGTATTGATTGGAGGTCTTCTTCAAATGTCTGGTAGAATTCTGCTGTAAATTCATCTGGCCCTAGACTTTTTAGTTGGGAGTCTTTGTATTTCTGTTTCAATTTCCTTATGTGTTATGGGTCTCCTGAATTACAGATTGGCTTGTTTATAGTAGCATCATATCTGATTATATGAGTTAATGGTGATCAACCTGACACTGGAGTCTACAGAGATAAGCCTAAACTCTGGACTTCTGAGGTGTGTGGCCACAAAGGCTTGAATGGATCTAGGGGCTGGAGGGGTTGGTCTTGCACTGTTCAGGTCTGGAGCCTTTCTATGGTAGTTCTCCTAGTGTCTAAGGCCGCAGATGCTAAGTGGTACTAGGATAGGTCAGGCAATTGACTCTCAGTGTCTTGACCTGGAGTCTTGGGTTGCAGGGCTGATCTCAGTTTTAGGGTAAGCCTGAAGCCTAAAGCCATGTGAACTAGCCTTACTCTGGTTAGTCTGAAGCCTGGGCTGAGCCAGGGATCTCAGGCTTCAGGGCAGTCAATCTGGAGCCTGGAGCCATAGGGGGTAGCCTGGTAGTAAGTAGACTTATAGTCTTTATCTGTAGGGGCTTAACTGGAGACCAGCCCTGTGGGTGTTGATGTGGTACCTGAGGTCACAGAAATTAACCTTGCAGTGTGCATATCTGGAGTCTGAATTCGTGATGGCTGGCTCTGTAAAGGCCAGATTTTTACGTGCTGGCCTGATTCTTGAGGCTGCAGGTACCAGCTTGAAGCCAGAGTCTCTGAATAACAGTGTGGCATTAGAGCATACATACTCAAAGTCTGAGTCCACAGAGCCATCCTTGTTTTAAGTGGGTCTGGAGCCTATAATCCATGGGTATTCTCCTGGAAGCTGCATTTGAGTGCCAGCTTCATACCTGAGGCCATGAGGGCTTCTCTAGAGATTTAGTCCACTAGTTTGGGGAAGACATGAATTCTGGAGCTAAAAGAGCTCTTGTAGAACTGGAGAGAGAGAGAGAGAGAGAGAGAGAGAGAGAGAGAGAGAGAGAGAATGAATCAGGGTCTCATTATCTCTTTCAGTGACCTAAGAACTTTCCATTAGGCCCCACCTCCCAATAACACTACCCTGAAAAACCAAGATTTGAATGCATGGATTTGGGGAGAAACAGTCAATATCTAAACTCTAATATCAAGCTAAGGAATTTAATAAACTAATTGTTCCAAAAATATTTACTGCTTCTTATGTGCACTTAGGCATCATGGAATCTACTGTAGTACAGCTCACATTCTAGCAAGATCAAAGCTTCCTGCTCTAAAGGACCTGAGTTCAGTTCCTAGCACCCACATCAGGTGGCTCACAACTACCTGTAACTCCAGCTCCAGGGGCTCTGACACCCTCTTCTGGCCTCTATAGGCACCTGCACAAATGTACACATACCCACACACATACACATAAATAAAGATAAATATTTTTAAAATAAACATAAAATGTACACTATTTTCAATTATAAATGCTAAAGAGAAAAAGCCAGGAAGAAAGTAGTGGGTTTTAGGGACATAAGAAAGATTTTGGTGTTACCCAGTGTCTAGAGCAAACTGTCCCTTGGGAAATTCCAGATAAAAGGGTTAAAAAGCGTGGCATGTGCATATATATGCATATATATGTGAATTTTTAAAATAAACATAAAATGTACACTATTTTCAATTATAAATGCTAAAGAGAAAAAGCCAGGAAGAAAGTAGTGTGTTTTAGGGACATAAGAAAGATTTTGGTGTTACCCAGTGTCTAGAGCAAACTGTCCCTTGGGAAATTCCAGATAAAAGGGTTAAAAAGCGTGGCATGTGCATATATATGCATATATATGTGAATAAATGTATATATATATATATATATATATATTGGAAAGCACACCATCCAAGAAAAAATCAACAAGTTTGACATACCTATTTTAAGAAACTAAGTGTATGCACAAGATCTTCACAAGATCAACCCAACCAACATTCCAACATGAAGTGAAAATGGGTTCATGAACTACCACCCCCAGCTGAGGAGCCATTTATAGCTGATAGCTACTTGGGGAGGGAGAATCAGTTTTCTTTAGGGGTGTGGTTCCTGGTAAGCTGACTATGCTCCAATGGATGGCCCTATACTCACAAGTATATGGGTAGTACAAATTAGCCTCAGCAAGTTATGAAAAAAGTGACATGAAGTTGGGAGGAAGGTGGAAGATGGGAGGTGGATATGGAAAGAGTTAGGAGAAGGAGTGAGTGATGAATATAATCAAAACACAGGGTATGCATGTATTAAATTCTCAGAGAATAAATAAAAATATTATATTGAAAATGAATACTAAGAAGATAAAATGTCACAACTCAGGGAGGGAGATGAAATTGGATCACCTGAGTCCTCGTAAATCATTATAAGGAATCAAGATATGAATCTGAGTGAGATGAGGCCATTTCAGGGTACAGTACTCTGGCTTCTGGGTGGTGAACAGAATGGGTAGGGAGTAGTGGCGATCATACGGGTCTTTGTAGATCATTGTGAGAAACTGACTTGCTCTGAGTGAGATAAGATACTGAAAGGTAATGTGTATGGAAAACACAAGATATGACAACTTTTAATATGAATTATCTGCCTATATGCAGAGACTATTCAACAGGTATGATGGACAAGAATGGGAGTAAGGAGAATAGTAAGGGAGTTGCAAGCAGGACTCAAGTCAGAAGTGGTGGAAGTAGCGAGAAGTGGACATAAGTGGACTGGATACATTTTGAAAGATAGACTGGGCTAGGCATGGTGGTGCACACCTGACCCTAGCACTCCAGAAGTGTGAATAAGGTGGGTATCTGTAAGATAAAGGCCAAGCTGTTCTACACAGAAAGTTACAGGCCAGCTGGGGCCACAGGGAGACCCTGTCTCAAAAAAGAAAACAATCATAACAAAAAAAAAAAAAGAAAAAGAAAAGTAGATTGACTAGAATCATAGATGGGTCAAATGCAAAGGAAAGTGAAACAAAGAAGATACCTACTTTTTTAGCCTGACCATTTGTTGTTGTTTTTCTAACAAGAAGGAATTGATTTTTAGCCTTTATTTTTAATTGTATATATTAAAGGTGTACAGCATCACATTGTAATGTACACTTAGTGACGTGACTGCTACAAGAAAATTAACATACCATCTATTAGCTCACATAGTTACATTTTTGTGTGGTAAGAGCACCTAGAGTCTACTTTCTCAGAAAATTAGTATATAGTACACTATTATCTATAGTCCTCAGGCTATACATTGTAGCTCTAGGTTTATTCACCTTCTATAACTGCAGCTTTGTACTCTTTGACCAATATCTCCCTACTCACTCCATCCCTACTTCCCTAGCAACACCTTGGTAACCAGTCTTCTATTCCCTGTGTTTCTATGTGTTTGATATACAAGCAAGATCATGCAGTACTTTTTATTTCTTTGACTGGTTTATTACACTCAGCATATCCTCCAGGTCCATCCATATTTTGTAAATGTCAAGATTTCCTTCTTTTTAAAGGTGAATAATTAATACTCTATTACATATTTGCTTATTCACTTACCTATCAATGGACACGTAGGTTATTTCTCTATCATGGCCTTTATGAATAATACTGCAGTGAACATGGGAATACAGATCTCTATAACACGCTGGTTTTGCGTTGATTGTTTTTTCAGCATCTATTCAGGATCTTATAACTTTCTTTAATTTGTTGCAAACTTCATTATTATATCATTTTATTTAATTAAACTAAATGAAGTTTGTGTTACAAACAGGACATTTTATAGCTGGGCATGGTTGTGCATGCCTTTAAATCCCAGCACTCAGGAGGCAGAGGCAGGTGGATCTCTGTGATATGGAATCCAGCCTGGTCTACACATCGAGTTCCATGCCAGCCAGGGCTACATAGTGAGGCCCTGTCTCAAAAAAAGGACTTTTTTGGTGTTTTTGAGACAGGGTCTCCCTGTAGCCCCAGCTAGCCTGGAACTCACTACGTAGACTAGGCTAGCCTCGAACTCACAGAGATTTGCCTGCCTCTGCCTCCTGAATGCTGGGACTAAAGGCATGCACAACCATGCCCAGGAAAAAAAATTACTTTTTTTCATCATTCCCATCCTCTTTATTCTGCCCTTTATTTCATAAATCGCAAATATTTGAATACTTTTCCACTACTTACTGAAAAGATGTTGTTGTTGTTCTTGTACCAAATAAGAACCTCAGAAAAAAATTTAAAGCATTGTTGTTATAGGTAAATAAGGTTTAAATTCTAGACCATAATTTCTCACTGAATTTTAGTAACTAAAATATTTTCAGTTTGAGAAAAATATATTCCTACTGAGAGATTTATGAATACCTATAATTCTCTGATACTTCTATTCTTTGTACAGTACTACATAGGACACCCTAGTTTCTACCTTATGTGGGAGTGATGGTTTGCTCATGTTTCTTTTTAAGGTATCCCCATCTGAGTCCCAAGTACAAGGAATCCTTTGATGTGGGCTGTAACCTCTTTGCCAAGTTTTCTGCATACATTAAGAACACTCAGAAAGAAGCAAATAAGAGTAAGATTCCTTTTTTATGTCTCTATTTTTCTGTTACTTTCTCAGTCTTCCATTGTCACTCAGCTAAAATAGAATTTTCACAAATATATAGTGTATCTTGGGGAATAGCCTACTTTCCCCCTCGTTATGTTCTGTCCTCTGAAATTCCCCTGAAATGAGTTTTATCTCCATAAACATTCCAGAATAGGTAATCCTCTGAGTATTGGAAACCTAATCTCCACCATCACCTTCTGACTCTTCTGTGTTGGATAATATATACTGATCTATTTTTCTTTCTTTATGACTCTGTCTCATCAGTGTACTACTGGAAAAGTGCCAATTTGAGCAACATATAAACTGTGAAAAGTATATATTAAGAACTATTTAGTTATTAAGATAATACAATTATAAGTAACCTTATTACTTCATTGCCCCAGATTTTGAAAAATCTCTGCTCAGAGAATTTAAGCGTCTGGATGACTACTTAAATACCCCACTTCTGGATGAAATTGATCAAGACAGTGCTGAGGAACTTACAGTTTCCAGAAGATTGTTCTTGGATGGGGATCAGCTAACACTGGCTGACTGCAGCTTATTACCTAAGCTGAATATTATTAAAGTAAGTTTGGATATGGGAGGCTGCACTGTATAGGAGGGATTTGTGAGTGACTATCATGAAGCAGTGTCCTTCCAGTATGGAACATTATATGATAGCTTTGTCATCATCACCGAACAGAGAAAAGATCCATAATTATCTTCTCTAGGAAGCACTGAAACTTTTTGTTTCTTCCTCAGTCTGATGGTATTTTCTGCTGTCTTAACAAGAAAATAAGGATAATAAAATTATCCCTTTTACAGAATTGCTGAGAGAATTACAACACATAAAATGCTTAAAACAGTACACTGGGTCACATCAAGTGATGAACAATGTGAGATATTTCCATGATGACAATTTAATCATAAATTTAACAAATATTTATTAAATTGAACTATAAAACATGGAGAATACGTAGAAAGACATACCAGGCATGGTGGTTCAGGCTTGTGAGTTCAGATATTTGGGAGACTGAATTAGGAAGATCACAAGTCCCAAGGTAGCCTAGGCAACCTACTAAGAACGTTAACTCAGTTTTTTAAATTAGGTCTGGGAATGTAGGTCAGTAGCAGAGCACTTGTATAGCATATAAAGAACCTTGGGCTCAATCCCCCATACTACAAAAGAAAGGGTGAGCACCAGCAAGCACAGTTAGGGCTGCATGTAAAAGGCAGCTTACTTTAAACAAGCTCATAAGTAAATACAGTGTCAATATAAACATGATTGTAAACATATGGCATTGTCTATATTTATAGACAAAACATCAAAATAGTAAACAATATTCTTTATGCTTATTTTATAGTTTACTTTATACAGCTTGGACTTTGAGATATATTTCTACATATGGGCATGTCACTGATACCTTTTACTATCAACTTACTTTTCCCTTTTTTCTGTAAAATCCTAGGTTGCTGCCAAGAAGTACCGTGATTTTGACATTCCAATAGAATTCTCAGGAGTCTGGCGCTATCTCCACAATGCCTACACCCGTGAAGAATTTACCCACACATGTCCCGAAGACAAAGAAATTGAAAATACCTATGCAAGTGTGGCTAAACAAAAGAGTTAAGAGAACTCTTTCAGAAGATAAGGTTTCCTTTGTTGTGAATTTTCATGTTCTAGCATATTAGAAAGCTTTCAGGGAGTAACATGGAAAATACTATTCCGTCTAACTCATTCAATTATAGAAGAGAACTCTAAATTTTCCGTATCTAGGTAGCTATAAACAATCTGACCTCCATGTATCTTGCGGATCTTCATATTTTCACTTCAGTTTATTTATTCCTGTGACAAACCATTGTAATCTTGAGCAACATGGAAAGTATCCAGATCTGTTGCTCTTGGATTCAGTGCCTAGAATGCATAATGTGTGTCTAAAGTTATAAATAACACAAGTAGAGCCACAATCTCAAACTACTCCTTAGAAATAATTCCATCTAAGTTATTATAAAAATTTTATATTTTATTTACTTTAATGCATACATGAGTCTAATTCTGAAGTGAATAGTGAGCTCAAAGAATGACCATTTCAGAGAGGCTAAAACAATGACTTAAAAAACATTAAACAGATCAAGACCAATGGGTCATATAAGGGCATGCAATGCCTAGAAATATGATCACATCATAAAGATGACACTCTGGCCTTTGTGACTAGATTTATGATTTTTACTATTATTGTTGCTCTTATTGTTGTTAAATAAGTAAGTATTCATTTGATAAAACATAATTTTGTAAAAGGAAATGAGGAAATAAATAGAAAACCTGAAAAGTCAATTGTATCTTTCACTCAAATAAATAAAAGGAAACTGAAAAGTTTGCCTGACAAAAAGGTCTTGAACTATTCATGAAATGATAGTATAGTAGACCCTTGGAAGATGATTATAAAGTTTTCTATAGAATTTTAAATGTATCATATGTATTGAAGTTCATAGCTGCCCTGCATGTTAAAGTATGCTTCATACGTTAAAGTACTGTCAAGTCATTCAAATCCAGAAACAAAAGCTGAACTTGCCCTTGCTCCTTCAGAGGTGAAACCAGCAAATGAGAAGTTTCCAAAATGAAAAACATGGCTATCATAAAAGATAAGATTTCAGTGAGATAGTGTGTTTAACAGGTTTGCACCTGCTGGAGTTAATAGCTTCTCTGAACAGATCTGATACATTTTCATTAATATTATTTCAAAAAGTGAAGTTGCTTAAGATTTCTGATTTTAAGCAGCAAAGCATCTCAGCAAAGTTTCTTCTATGCCTTGAGATTTATTGACCTAAGTTTTTCTCAAAGACAGGGATAAAGTAAGCTCCAGAATATAACAACATGGACATTTTTGACCAAAAAAGTGGTTAAAAACTTGCATATGTACTAAGATGCGACGGACCAGCCCAGACCGGGGCAGTTCAGTCCGACGGGAACAGGGTCGTCGAGAGGGTGGACAAGGAGTTGGCAAGTGGCAAACAGACACAAAAGGAGCTTGATGAAAGTCTGAGTGTAATCTGTGCAGTTGCAAGGTTTGAAATATATACAGCAAAGTTCCTAAAAAATCATTTTATGTTAGGGACTTATGAAGCCATCTTTTCCAGCTATCTTTCCAATCCTTAACTACAGTCTGTAGTTGCCTTTTAATGCTCTCTTGTTGATCTTTTATCAAAAGACACCAAGGTGGTCTTGATCTTGCCAATTTATCCATGAATTGTAATGAATACCAAGAAACCCTTCTTCTATCTATATTTTACTCATCTATGTCTCTCTTCTAAAAATCTGTTATTCCCTGGACTTTCCAGCATTAATTCTGCTTGACTACTTCTTGTTGCATCTAAAATAGCTTTCATTAATAGTGATGCATCTGGAGGCAAAGTTGTCTTTTGTGATTGAGTTTCTGAGAACTCTTCCTGCATACTAGGATAATTAAAAGATTCAATAAAGGCAGTGACAGCGGTGTCAAGGACACCAGGTGCTTTCTGGGCCCCTGAAAGTCCATGATACAGTGACAGTTAGAAAAATAATAGCAAGTAAAAGCATGCCAAGTACACTGCATGCTTCTCAGCAGAACCAATTCCAAGAGGCAACCTTCCTTGAAGTTCCAGCCTCAACCCACGGAGGATCTCATGCGGGCTTCATTGGAGATGGCGTGACACTAAGAGTCAGAATTTGCTGTAAGGCAGAATTGTTATCTTTTTCTATAAATATGGAAGGGGCTGCCAGAGCCAGATGAAATAGATCCCAGAAGTTTCCCAGCCATACTTCCTATTATCTTCTTTTAAAAAATATTTTATTTGTTATTTTTATTTTATGTGTATGCATGTACTGTCCGCATGCAGGCAAGTGCGCCCGTATCATGCAATGCTCACGGAAGACAGAACAGGCTGTTGGATCCCCTGGAACTGGAGTTATGGACAGTTGTTAGCTGCAATGTGGGTGCTGGGATTCAAACCCAGGTCTTCTGCAAGAACAACCAGTGTTTTTAACTGCTGAACCATATCTCCAGCGCCCCCCCCCCGCCGTTATCTTCTTAAATGAAGTTAATACAGCTCAATTCAGTAGCTACATAATGAGTACTTATTATATTATTGATTCTTATTTTGTTATTTAATCCTCACACTCTGAGTTATGTAAGCATACGATTCCCAAATGCTGTTATTTACTCATGAGAGAACCAATAGGAAGAAACATTACCTATTTGAAGAGTATCAAAAGAACAGAGATTGATAACAGTCAGTCAGATGAGGCATGCCAAGCCAGATGTGTTGGCTCACACCACTAACCTCAGCACTTGTGTGGCTGACTTAGGAGGATCACAAGCTCAAGGCCAGCCTGAACTATAAGTGAATTCACTGAATTACAGACTGATAGTGTTCCCTCCCAAAAAATTTTTCAAAAAAAGATTGCTCAAAAGTGATTACTAAGTTAACTGGTTAACTTTCTGCAGAACAGTAATACATTTGTTTCTTTCAGGGTTTAAGTTCTCCATGTGGTTGTAAAAGCACAAGAATAAATCAGTTTCTGCATATTTACTTTTCTAACCTTATGAGATTCTAAATTGTTTCAATCTTTAACAGTCTTGGATTTTTAATCAAATATGCTATGACAATCAAGTTACAGTCTCCAGTGAGTCAATGAAATTGATCAGATAAATAATCTAATTTGATGACAAATGTCAAGCTTGTATTTTGTTAGATTCAGGATAATTGTCTTTATTTCAAAAGCACTTATTAAGATTATTCCCATTTTATAGGTAAAAAGCATAGACCTTCAGTGGTTGAATAATTATTTTATTTTTACCAATGAAGAGACTAAAGTTCAAATAAGTTACATATCTAGCCCAACTTCGTCTATCTACTGAATGGTAGAGCTGTAATTTAAGCCCATACATTTACTCACAGGAATATGTTCTGCCCCAAACTTAAGAAATACACCCCATTCTCCCAAAATACACAGTTCAATAGGAGTCAGACAATTAGCTATGCACTTACAGCACATTCATTATGAAAAGTGTAAGGTCAAGATTATATAACAGAAAAACATTCTTACTTGTTCCCCCAACCTGACCACAAAAAAGGTACACTTGGTCATACAACCTTTGCATAATTCAATTTATATGAAAATGCTAAAAGATATATTTTCACGGACAGGTAAGCAAAAATCTCATATACATTTTTTTCTGATTTAGGCAATATGACTTCAAAACATGGTCCTGAATGAAATTAGCTCCAGAAACCTCTTCTTCTGTGTTATAAATCACACAGTATAGGAAAAGAATTTATACCCATTAAAGTCACATTTTAAAAGAATAATGAAAGGTGGGTATTTTTACTACGAAATCATCACATGGTCACAGAAAGTTTCATAGTAGAGAGTGTACATATAGAGGTGCGCGTCAAAACTTCCTATCTGATAAAGCGGCATTGCTCGTTAGTTGGTGAAAAGATGGATTTTTTTCTTAATAAATATATTGGGATAACTTGAAAACCTAGAACAAGTCCCTTATTCTTCACATCAAAATAAATTTCAGAGAAACAAAAATTGAACATAACAAAATGAAACCATGAAAGTAGCATGGTGCAATGTTTATAATCATGACAAAACTATGGTCTTTCTAAAGATATCATAAAATTAGAAAACATGGAACAAAGATTAATAAATCAGCACGTTTTTATGCCTCCTGAAGGAACTTCCACTTCTGACCAGAATGATACAGCACCATTCTGCCTACCCCAACATAACAATAAAAAAACCTAAAAGAATATGTGAAACAACTGTGTTCAGGTAATTGAACAGTAGGCAGCAAAGAATTATTATTCATGAGTGAATAGAAACGAGGCAAATGACTGCCACCATAGCATCCTGCCTAGAGACACTCATCAGACCCTGACATAAGGAGAAATAATCCAAGCTGGGAACAACAGTCAAAGACAAGTTTGAAAAGGCTGAAGTAAGTATGATTTGGAGGAAAAAGTTCCAGAAAGGAGGGCATTGTGCAAAGAAAGTTATAGAAATCGGCATAGAAATCATTCTAATTTTTGAATACTTAGTTTTGTACATGCAAGATAATATTTAATGATGTTAGCCAAAGAATAACTGTTGGGAAAATAACAACTAAGAACAACAACATTTCTAAAACAAAAATGATGGGGTAAACACTTCATGTCAGAATCTATGGGCTGTATTTAAAGCAGTGAGTAGAGAAAATGTTGTAATACTGAACATTGTCAATAAAACTAGAAAAATAACAATAATTAGATGCTGGCCTACAGAACACAAAATATACAACTTCAAACTCTAAAGGCTCATACTTGTAATTCTAGAACTCAGAAGGCTGAGGCAGGGGGATTGCCACAAGTTCGAGACCAGCCTAGCTACATAGTAGTTCCAGGCAAGTTTGGGGTACAAAGTAAAGCTCTGTCTCAAAATAAAGAAATAAATAATAAATAAATATCTAGTTAGGGGCTGGAAAGATGGCTCACCAGTTAAGACCACTAGTTGCTCTTGCAGAAGACCCAGATTCAAATCCCAGCACCCACATGGAGGCTAACAACCATCCATAGCTCCAGTTCCAGGGAATCCGACACCCTGTTCTGACCTCCATGGGCATTGCACGACACAAGTGCACTTACATACATGCAAGCAATACACTCATCCACATAAAATAAAAACAATAAATAAAATAATAAAAATAAATATCTAGTTAATAAATCAAAATCCTTTTTTAAAAAATATGAATGAGATAAACCATTTTGTTACACTGGTAAGACAGTAAAAAACAAAAACATACATAACATAATGGATAAATAATAAGATAAGCAATCTTGGGGGCTGGAGAGATAGTGCATCGGTTAAGAACACTGACTGTTCTTGCAGAAGACTCAGGTTCGAATCCCAGCACCCACATGGCAGCTAACAACTGTCCATAACTCCAGTTCCAGGGGATCCAAGAGTCTTTTCTGTCTTCTGCGGGCATTGCACGACACGGGTGCACTTATCTACATGCAGGCGATACACGCATACACATAAAATAAAAATAAATAAAATATTAAAAATAATAAGATAAGCAATCTTGCAAACCTCTATATAAATAAATGTCAGAATCTAGGGGGTATGGATAATTTCTTAGGAAAGTGAAGATTAACAAAAATAACTCCATTTAAAACTGAA